GGTGGGTGGGTGGGTGGGTGGGTGAATGAATGAACGAACGAATGAATGAATGAATGAATGAATTAATGTTTGTGTGTGCGGGTGTGCGGGCGTGCGTGTTGTGAGTGTGCATATTATCTGGTGTGTGTGTGTGTGTGTGTGTGTGTGTGTGTGTGCGTGTGCGTGTGCGTGTTTGGGGTTGATGTGTGTTTGTAGAGTGTGAGACAAAGAGAAATTGTTTTGCTCGTAGTGAGGATCATTTTGTTTCTCTTACTTCTGTCCCGGGTGAAGTGGCCCATCAACCTACCGAGCACGGATCTGCATTTACACAGCATAGATCTCGGAGTGATTGTGCTGCCAAAACGAGCCAGCAGGATTTGTAGTATAAGTGAACCCATCGTGCACGGAGGATATCTAAACGGATTGAACCCGCCGGCATGCACACACAGCCCGAACCCTCATGAAAGGAGCACTCGCAGGATAGTACAGGTAATGCTAGCTTGTATTGCAAGTCAGACCATGGAACTGGATGAACTGGAGAGGCATGGCAATGAGAACATGTCGCCGGAGTCACAAGTGAGTGAATCATCACTAGGCCGAGAAAACTTCCCTGGCCTCGGAGCTGGCAAGGCCTCTTAGCTGCAGATTCACAGCTCCTCAGCAGTAGCATCCTGTCGGGTGAAAAAGGCCTATACAAGGCGCGCACGGGCCACAAGATACTGTACAACGAGCGATAATAGGCTCGAAAATAAGAAGATCTAGTGGAGATGCGGTGCACTATGGTGATGAGATTCAATTAATTTAAATGTGATGGTTGGCCAAAGGACGTGGAATGAAGTGAAAGCCTGGAAACACTTGTATATTGTATGTGTGCGTGTGTCCTGGCACTTGCTGTCTGTCTGGCGCGTGCTGAAAGTCGGAGAGCGGCTGTTACATTGGCACGAGTCAGGTGCAAGTGATGATTATCAAATTGCATTTCCAAAGTTTGAGCGCCTAGCTGCGTGAGCCTGATGGGGACGTAAACGACCGGAGGCATGCTTTGGTCGTGTGATGTTTGCAAACCGACAATGCAGGCTTTGCCGAGTTCCTGGCATCGGCGGCTGTTTGGCGAAGGCCTTGCTTGGAAGCTTTGGCAGCTGCGAGGCTCACCGTTCAGATCTGCCGAAGGGCTTGCTTGGATCATAGTCATGGAAATACAATGCGTGGCCGATTTATCAGGTGGTGGTGGGGGCGTCGTGTCTTTTGAGCTTTTGATTTCATGCTGGTCGCAGGATGTCTCGGGGCTATCTCGTGTCACCTGGTTGTTTTCACGCAGTGGCAGGCATCCACACAGGGAACGCCTCATAATTAAGACTCATAAGTGCTACATTATCTTATCAAGCCTTACGTCTCTGCTGTCACATTCATTGGTGTCTGCAACATGCATACTCGTATTTGCCCGTCTCTTCTTATTGCCCATGGCGTGCTTCCTACTCTTGACCACCCCACGTAGTCCAAGTTTTCGGAAAGATGTGGACACATTCCGTCTCAGTCATTTTGCATTACCTGCGGCGAAGCTCTATGTAAAGAACTTGCGTAAAAACCACTACACGGCGAGGCGTCCTCTTGCAAGTAGCCGACAAAATCACAGCGTCCGCAGGTAAAGCTAGGAATTCATATTCTGGCAGTGCTCCAACATGTAATATTATGTCACTCAGCACTTGCAACAAATCCGGCTCCCTAGCCTATTTGCCACACGCTTCTTGGATCCAGCGTCTACATTGGGGATTAGCTAATTCTGGTTTGTAATTCCCCCACTGATGTGTATTCTTCCTAGACTTCTGGTGCCAATGATGTAATTATTCTCACCAGCTGACGTGAGATAACTCGACCACCGAGCAGCAGTAGTGAATGTGTGATGGAAACATCTATCTATAGAAGATTGGCATGCGCTTACCAACACGGCGAGGCTGTTGCACCTCGCAATCCATGTCTTGACAGCCACAACCTATAAGCGCAAACAGAAAAACTTGGCCGATATCGCGAACACTGAGACTTCTTATTCTAGCTGGTCGATCTCTTCAAGACACATGCTCAGCATGACAGTTAGCATCCGGATACCAGTCATTCCTGCGAAAGGCAGTGCTCGAAGCAGCAAAGCACGACAGCTCGAAGATACTGGCCCTGCCAGGGATTGGCCCCGTGGTTGCCATTACTGTCCTGATTGACAGGCTGTTTGTCATCGTGGGCATAGTACTGCCATTGCTCCAGTAGGCACGGCTCCCGGATAATGGAGCAAGTGCTATTCTTACATGCTTATGTTATTCTGCTGACCTGCTCCTGTCAATCCTGATCGTTTGTATGCGAGGAGTCCGGAAGTAGTGCGGCTTTGTGCTGGCTCTTCAAGGCGACTTTCTAGTTCTTTCAGGGTCTCTGGGCACACAAACCGCGCGACACGCAACACTGTCATGTCATAACAAGGGCTTTGTTAAGGAGCAGTAAGGTCAAGTAGCACGGCTTGGGTGAATGCACTGGTGCATCCCCCTACACGAGCATCCCCACTGCCTATTAAGAGGGATCCTTTTCTCGTCTCGATGAGGCTTAACGGCTTAACCAGCCCCCTTCCCCGAGTTTCTACACGATGTCAAACTTCGCACTGCTTGTGAAATGGAAGCTTGCTGGTAGATGTGAGAAGAGGGTTTCACCAAATTTGGAGTCCTTCGCTTACGAGTCGTCGAGTCGTCATGCCGGGCATCCGATTAGGGTCTTTGTTAGGGTTCTGTCTTTTCTGAAACTCCGCACGGGCCGCACGGATACAGACAGAGAACAAGCCCAGGCGAGAGGCGGCTCCAACAGCTCCAGGAAGCTGCAAAGGCCGCCAAAACGGCAGGGTTTCGGGAACATAGTGCATACATTGGTGTGCTGATTATATTTGCTGGCTTGTTTTTATGTATGTTTGGGTGCTGCACAGAAGCTCACACTTTCCACAAGCCTCTGGTTTGTTTATTGTGCATGCTATGACTGATGCCATTTGTTCTGCCTTCCTGTTATGAGAGGCGGCTTCGTGCTTGGAGGGAGTGTTGCACAAACTTGATGTGAATCCTTCCCCGTCTTGTGCCAGCGTGAGAGTCGAAGCCGTCAGATCATGTCAGAACTCTGCTTGGAAACTGAAACCCTGAAACCTAGCTTTTCGCTTTACCGAAAGTGGCTAGGATCGATACCGACCCTGTCCCCCTGCCATGCCTCCATGTCCTCGCGAAGTACGTAGGCCAAAAAAACCCTGGAGGGTCTCCCTCCACTCCGAATCCCATGCAGGCTCAGCTGTCCGCGAGTGCTCACGGCCTAGGGGGCTGTTCTGCGTAAAAAGGAGCCGCCTGTGTCGAATGTTGAAGCCCAGGAATTAGCAGTGATGTTGCTTGGGGCTCCTTGTTATTATACTATTATACTGTAACATGCCCCTAAATCCCATTCTACTTATTAAGGCCTTTGCCTCAGCTGTGAGCGATCGGCCCATCGTAGACCCTGTCCCACCGATGCCCTACAAAGAACTTGGGTGGCCTAACGCTCGGTGAGCCCCTGGGCCTTTGCGTAAGCTCTCAAGCTCCCTTAAGCTTGCAACCGTCGGCCGGTGGCGGAGGGTGCTTGCAGCTAAAATGCCTAAATAATTACCATCGCTATTTTGGGGGGTTCCTCATTATAACTATAGTATAATATACCCAAAACCCTATTCTAATTATTAAGGCCCCTACTTTATATGATGTTCCTGAACTAACTAAACGAAGCACCCCAATGCATTGGACTGCCCTGTACATGCTCAAAGCTCGGAGCATTTTTGCGGCGTAGTGATAACCCCTCAGCCGCGCTCGGAGCTCCATGATCCAATGTCGCATCCAGGTATCTGGGCGCCTACTAAGCCTAACAAGGCATATTATGTCAAGTTACCAGAACAATTTTGTTTGTGTATATGTATGTATATACAGGCATATACTATATTGTGGTGTAAGATTCCCGCCTTGGTAAATAGTCTCCTAACATCAGCCCAGGTATAGGAGTGACGCTGCTGTCCTTGGCCTTGCTCCAGTGCTTTCCATGTGTCTTGGCTAATCTGGTCGGACAGACATTCCCTCCCGTGCGCATCACCTTAGAAGCCCTTGGACCTGTGTAAATGCCAGACCAGCAGGGAGAAGCAAAATAACTATCTGGCATGTAGCGGTGGCCACTTGCAATACTAGGCTGAAACGTGCGGTTGGAATAGAAGAGATGTTGGGGTTGCTGTTTCAACTCATGTCTCAGTCAGATATGCGAGGCCTCAAGAAGGCTTGCACATCCATACAGTTCGGGGTGAGTACTTTTCCATGCGCTGACACAGGCGTTAAGCTGCTAGGATGACATTAATTCAGACTAGGTTTGAGGTTCATTTCGACTCGAGACGGGTATGCTATCATGCTGGCACTCATAGGATAAAGAATGCTGTGTGATTCTTAGGTCTATCGCTACGGCCATTATCATTACTACTGGGAATTATACTGGGGGCTACCGGCACTGTTTATCTTCAGCCGCCATTTCCAATAATTACACTTCGGGGAACAACACACGGAAAACAACGCTACATGCTATTGTGGACGTGATTCGCATGCAGCTCTAGAAGGTTATATAGGCTATCATCCAACACCTTTAGCCCGCATTGCTCGAAATGGAGGTTTAATTCATGGACGGCAAGAGCTCGACCTTGCGTGACATGAGACCCGAAACGTCTTCAAATCCGGAAACCATTTCGGAGGCGTCGCGAGCTACTCCGATGGGGAGGAGATTTTGGGCTGCTTACTGGTTCAGCGCAAGGTGCCCACTGCGGCTCTGAGGGTTCCGGGCGTAAGGGCAAAGTTTAAGGTGTATAGGGCCTAGGTATCGGGTTTAGGGGGATAGACTTGGGGTGTAGTTTTGGTTTGGGGTTGCGGCCTGGGAAGAATGCTCGCCTTGAAGCCTCACACATTCCGACGTGTCTTACAAAGAACACTATAGAACCTCAAAAGAACCATCATACCCTAAACCCTCTGGATTGATGCAGGTATGTACATGTAGCAAGCTNNTGCGAGTGTGTGAGTCGAAACCCTCCAGAGTCACACCGACTCAAACCTATGGAACCTCGCCTGGCTTGTCCTTGATGTGAGAGCGTCAACCCAAACCTTGGACGCATGTCCTTGCAGGCTGAGGCTCTGCCTCCCCGATCTCCGGCTGCCGACGCAGAGACAGAGCCTGTGATCTTGACGAGGTTGACTTCCTACACGGGCGAATACTGTAAGGTTTAGGGTGAGCGCTCCTGCTGTTGTTGCTGCCACGGGTTGTACTCCCAAGTGCTTGCCATTAGTGGCATTGTCATTTGTCCACACGTGCTGGTTTTGCTTGGCGTTTCGTTTCACTTTCAGGCTTCACGAGTTTGAGGACTGTTGAGAAGCGGTAGTGCCTGGTTCTTGGACGGCAAGAATAAGTGCGGCAGAAACGGCTTCCTTAGCCATTAGCCGTGAACTGGCCATCTTGTCCACGGCTCTTGATCTTCACTTTGGCTCTCTAGCGAAGATGGCTATGCACACAGGCTGCATGCGGCGTCATGTTTAATGTTGTGTATGTCGTTTACTGTATATACGCGGGCAGCTCTCGCAGCGCAACATGGAGAGGGATAGAAGAGAAGGGGTCGCAATTCGTTGACCACCCTCTCTCTCTCTCTCTCTCTCTTTTTCGCTCTTCGTCATTTCGTGCGCCGTCTGTCTTTTTGCGCTCTCTCTCTCTGTCTCTTTGTCGCTCTGTTACTCGTTCACTTTTGCTCGCTTCGTTGGCAAACGCACGCAAACATGCAGGAGACTGGGGATGCATTAGCTGCAGAAGTGACTTCGCTTCGCCTCCGTGTGTGACAGGCTAGAGAGCAACGTTGAGGAGGCAGGTCATGCAGCAGACGCGGTCTCAGCGGATGCCTTATCACTAGTGAACGAGCTGTCCAAGTTGCAGGCTTCATTGAAGAAGTCACGGGTGACAGAAGCTGTGACTAAACCGCTGCAACATGATTTATTGGAAACTCTGGAAGCGGCGCACGCGATGTTGACGCTGCCTGTGCCTGCTACTTCTGCCAGCCCTGCTCAGAGCAGCTTGGATTCCTTGCTATCGATGGAGGCTTCGGACGATTCTATTTCACAGGTTTTGGGTGGAAACGAGACCACTGCCACACCATCCACGAAGAAGACTTGGCAAGACACGGCCTCCTTGGTTTTATGCTTCGGTGGCTTGTTTCAGCCACAGACCGGTGTCATTGTTTGGGCTGGGACGTCAATCTTTCTGGCATGCACATTGCTACTCGTATCTGCCAAGACGGCCTTGAACTCAACGCCAGCAGAAGAAGCAGAAGCAGATTAAGCCCGCGCTGGGCTGCGCAAGTTTGCGATTGTGTTTGCTCGGTGGCAAAATCATGGTTTTCGTGGTTCTTGAAGGGCAGGTCTTAGCAACAAGGGTTTGCTGGGCATGACCGGGCAATGACTTGAGTATCAGTATATGATAAGAGTGTAACTGCTTTATTCGGAGAGGCCGGGAATCCAGTATCGCAAGGTTTTTTCTTCATAAATCCGGCAGAGTTTTTCAAAGAAGAATACGCATACAGCTACGCAGCTACGGAGGTATGAAGCATGCCCGTGGGTGCATTTTCGCTTCAGCAGCTCCTGCCACACTCAGATGTTTTGTTTTCTCTTGAAAAGCCTGAGTTCTTCTCCACGCCGATTCGTCTGAGACGGGTATTCCTGAGTCTGGAGGGCGGGCCTGACGGATTGTGCATCATACTGTTGTTGTTTGTGTTTGTTGGTGGTGGTGGTGGTGGTGGTGGTGGTGGTGGTGGTGGTGGTGGTCGTGGTGTTGCTGGAGTTGCTGTTGCTGTGGTTCTGGTTCTGGTTTTCGTTGCGGTTGCGGTTGTGGTTGTTGCTGTTGTTGGTGGTGCTAGTGTTTGGATTTTGGTGTTGCTATTGCTGTTGCTGTTGCT